CCCCAGCCGCATGGGCCGCACCGCCGCCGGGGCGCCGACTGGGAGTGCGGGCCGACGCGCTGCTCGTGGCCGCCGCGAAGGGGACGCGTGGCCCTGCGGAGCTCGCTGCTCAGGAGCGGTGACACCCCTTGACCCTCGCCCGTCACTAGGTCCCCTGCCGGGGAGGGGCTCCGCGGCAATAACGCTTCTTCCTATTGGTCACCCGTCACCCTCGTCCCCGCCAGGGGCGTGTCTCTGCCTGGAAAGCCGCCCTCCGATTGGCCAGTTCCCACTGACGGTTGAGTTGAAACTGCCGCCCGGCTGCGCTGGGGGCGGGTCTTCGCCACTGCGCATGCTCCCCCCGCTGAGGGGCTGCAGATGCGCCTAGGGAGGCGGTGACTGGGAGCACCGGGGGCCAGGTGGGTGTGGGCCGAGCAGGGGCTAGCGCCCGTCTGCCCCTCGCTGGACCTTCGCCCAGCTGGTTTGAGCGACCCTCGGGCTGCCTGGAACACGCCCTCCTGCCGGTACGCCCGGGGGTCCCTGGGTGCTCCCTGCGAGCCCCTGGAGGAGCGCAGCCGCCGAGACGCGCGCGTTTGGGGAGCCCCGGGAACGCGCCGGACCTCGTGTGTGTCGCGAACGTTGGTCCAGCGCCCTGTGGGAAGGTCAGCGAGACGCAGTTCGAATGGTGACAGTGGTTGTTCCGAGCGCTATCGAGGTCCCTGCGCGGACAAGTGGCAGGCGGCTTTCGGCCTCGTGGTCTGCTAAGGCCAGGCAAGGGACGCGCACCTCCTCGGCGTTGCCCAGCCAGCGCAGGAGATGGGCTGTTCCCGTGGGTCTCCCTAGGGAGTTGCACGGTTAGGCCTGTCTGCCTTCCATCACAGGAATGATGATAATGGCATGTCTGTGCGTAGGGACCGGGTTTTTTCCACCGTTTGTTTTTTTTTTGGCCTTTTTTGGTTTTTTTTTGGAGCCTCATATTTTGTGTGTGGTGCTTAAAGTCCTTACCTACACTTGGAGAATCTATAAAGTAAATGTTTTTGTAAACTGGGGAGGTGATAGACAAGCATCCACAGACCTTGTAGATCCGTCTGCCCTAACAAGTTGAGACTAGACTTCCCTTCATTAGGAAAATGTATAGAGACAGGCTGTCTTCACATTATAGTCAAAAGTGAATAAATGTTGTCTGTGCAAATATGTTAATTTGGGGGAGTTATCCCCTCTTTTTTTCCTCTGTTTTCTCCTTTTCCATCCAGACTTCTTAATCATCAAGTCACATCCCATTTTCTGCTTCCTCATCTTGAGTTTTGCTTAATCCCTTTTGGTCAGAGTCCATTTTCCTTTTTCCACGGTTGCTGAAATGGTGCTGCCTTTTTCTTTTTTTAATCGTAGATTGACACAATATCTTTATTTTATTTATTTATTTATATGTGGTGCTCAGGATTGAACCCTGTGCTTCACGCATGTGAGGCAAGCGTTCTACCCCAGCCAGAAATGGTGCTTCTTAAGGAGCAGACTGCTGGGCGCCTGGTTGACACTGGACACACTGATTCTTCTTTGTTCCTGGTGCTGCTTTTAACAGGGATCCACCTGGGATAGAAAGGGGAAAACAGGGTACCATGGGAGCATATGTCATGGAGAGCTAATTTAGTCTGGGGGCAAAGAAGACTTACCAGTGAAGTGATACAAAAGATGAAATTTTAGGGTGCTGTTAGCCAGACTGGAGCTAGAGTGAATTTGTACCTACCCTGATTCATTTTAAATAAAAATATTGAGATAGAGAACATTTTACCAAGGATGGTGCTAAAGTCAATAATCCTACGTATTGATTCCCAGGAGATATTGGAACCCACAGAGCCACCTGACAGAGTGAAGCAGAGCATTCTGCCTGGGGGATCTGAGGTCTCAGCCCAAGTTGAGAACCACGTATTGAGTGGAGGTCGGTAGCTGAGAGAGTGCTTATAGTGGGACAAACTTAAAAAAATTTAGATGCTCACTGAAATAATGCGCATATTCCCCTAACACATTATTGAGTTGATATTAAAGGGTTTTTAAGTTATAAATTTAAATAGTTACAAAGGAAATAGATTCTGATGAGTACCATTTTGAAAATAAAGTGGCTACAAAAATCTTAGATGGACCTGCAGGTCATTAGTATCATAGTGAATTTGTACCTACCCTGATTCATTTTAAATGTACTGAAGCCTTTTACCAGTTGGAAAGTTTGCCCTGATCATTATTCTCCTGAAAAATGCTTTTTATTCTTCTACCACAGGATTCTATCTTGGTGGGATATGCTTTTAAACATCAAAGTCATTGATGAAAGCATATCATCAGAGTTCTGAGTATCAAAGTTTCTTCTGCATTCAAGCATTAACTTTGTTAATGTCAAATGGTGTGTCAGAATCTGATAAAGGGGGCCAGGATTGTGGCTCAGCTGTAGATCGCTTGCCTAGCATGCATGAGGCACTGGGTTTGATCCCCGGCACCACATAAACATAAATAAATAAATAAAGGGTATTGTGTCCATCTACAGCTAAAAAAATTTTTAAAAAAAGAATTAAAGAAAATCTTATAAGGACTTGCAAGTAAGAAAATGTATCAAAATGCACCTCAGCGCAGCCTTTATTAAAAGAAATCATCAGGCCATCTCTTGTCCTCAATGTTATTCTTTCTTGCTACCTGAGGAAGGTGCAATACAGTGTCATTTGGGGTGCTCTGGGTGGGAGCAGGGCCATTGTCCAGCACAGGTCTGGCTCCAGGACTCTGCTCAGGTTCAGCAGTCAGGAAGGCTGAACATCTGACAACTAGGTTTTACTGCATCTCTAATCTGTATTCTCAGGGTTACTCACAAACCTACACCAAAATAAGAGCCATATAGGATTTAATTGCAAAAATATTAAGACAAATGTACTATAAAAATATCAAGATAGAGAAAATTTTACCAAGGATGATGCTAAGGTCAATAATCCTTCTATTGATTCCCAGGAGATATTGGAACCCACAGAGCCACCGGACGGAGTGAAGCAGAGCATTCTGCCTGGGGGATCTGAGGTCTCAGCCCGAGTTGACAGGAAACCTGTGGCCCTCAGGTGTATTGTAAATGGGCCACCCTAAGTGGTAACAGAAAGGTGCTATCTGAAACCAGTACCCTTAGAAGCCAAGGAAAGCCGCTGGTCTGAGTGTGAAAGAATGGAAAGATCTTGAACTGGGATACCTTTTATCTACTCACAGCTCCCATCACATTATCTCCCTCCTCCATTTTCCTTCACTCTTTCAGAAATAGTGGTTGTGAGGAGCATCCTGACCGCCGCAGGCTGCTGGCATCTGAGTTAACAGTGACATCCCCAATTCCCCTTTACTCCTGGGGTTTCTTTCTGGTCAGTTTCCACGCAAGCTTTTATTTTTCCTTTTATACAAATAAAACAAGAAAACATTCTTGTTCTAAAAGATTTAAACAGTAATCTGTTTGAATACTGAGTGAAAGTCTTTCACTTATATCCAGTTTTCTTACCCACAATTTCCACTGTGTGCTTTTCTAGTTTATGCAGCAGAGGTTTGGCAATCCGATGCCTCTGTTCCCCTCTTGAGATCACTAAGGCTTTCATTCAGATAAGCTCCCTCCTCATGGCCCACCTTCTTTGGGAGGAAGTTGACCCTCCTGAGGCAGGATCAGTCTAGTGCTTGCAGTGGGTCCCCACCCCCAGCCTGGACCTTGAGCCTCTCATGCTCACCAGGGTGCTCTCAGGTAACCTAAGGTACAGAGTATTTTTGCAGTGACACTGAAATGCCATTTACCTTCTCACTGGGCTGAATTTGCAGTGGTGGGTAAACTGCAGTGACCCCAAACTACACTAGTGCCACCTGTCCAGCACCACAGTCTCAGGGTGAGAAACCAAAACCACATTTCACTAGATGGTAACCTTGATGCAGCAGTACAAAACACTAAGTAGATCTCAACCCCTGGCTACAGATCTTGCGGTATTCCCCATGGCTGCATGGAGTATGCTGGAAGTGCTTGGGAGGCATAGTGAAAACATTAGCTCTCTGGAGGAAGAAGCCTCTAGGGCAGGCTGAACTAGCCATTTTGTATGTGGAATGTCATTTTTATTTGAAAGAATATCTAGCAGATAAACTGCTTGTCCATTTTGTCAAAAATGAACAATAGGATACCGTTTAAAACAGATAATAACTGCCAATAGGATTTTCAAGTGAATATTTGAATTTTGGAAAAAATATTTGCTCCCAGGAGTTTGACACCTTCCTACCACTTGAATTTTTTTTTCGAGGGGGGGGGCGGGTGGAGGTACTAGGGATAGAATCCAGGGGTACTTTATCACTGAGCTACATCCCCAAAATATTTTTGAATATATTTTTTAGTTGTAGATGGACACAATACCTTTATTTTATTTATTTATATCGTGCTGAGGATCAAATCCAGGGCCTCACGCATAGTAGGCAAGTGCTGTACTACTGAACCACACCCCAGACCCCCAAAATATTTTTTATTTTGAGGCAGGGTCTTGCTAAATTCCTAAGGCTGCCCTTGAACTTGGGATCCTCTTGCTTAGCCTCCTGAGTAACTGGGATTTATAGGTGTGCACCACCATATCCAGTCCACTAGAACTTTTTTAAATGAGATGTGTGATAATAGTAATCATTGTGATTTTTCAATATTGTATGATGAAATGTGTTGACATTTAGATCTGTGTAACTCATCAAAAGATTTTTCTGAATACTCAACACATGGTGTTTAAAACATTTGGGTAAATGATTCTTTCCATGTATATAATAGACTACTGTTTTGGGGGGGGGTTGGGGTACTGAGGGCACTTAACCACGAGCCACATCTCATCCCTTTTTTATATTTTATTTAGAGATGGTCTCACTGAGTTGCTTAGGGCTTCACTGAGATGCTGAGACTGGCTTTGAACTTGCAATCCTCCTTCCTCAGCCTCCCAGCTACTGTGGTTACAGCTGTGCACCACCGTGCCTGGCTAGATTAGTGGATTTTAACATAACAGTATGAAAATTTCATTAATGTAGTCTCAAAATCTATAAGTATTACTTAATTAAAAAGGCTACCAGTTCCTGGCTTTTAGTGTTGCACGAAATGAGAAGGGTCCCATTGTCTGAAAAGGCTACTGAAACTCTTCAACCAAAAACCAACCTGGCAGCAGACTGAATGGAGAAGCAGATCCAGAGTCCAGCTGTATTCATTTGCACCTGAGGCTAAGGAGATGGGCAGTAAACAAAACAGTGATACCTCCTGACTAAATGTTCTGGTTTTGAAAATATAGTTAATTTTTTTAATAAAAACGTCAGTTGACACATAACAGGTTATTGATTCTTTTTTTTTTTTTTTTTTTGTACTGGGGATTGAACCCAGGGGCATTAAACCACTGAGCCACATCCCCAGCCCACTGTTTTTTGTGTTTTTGTTTTTGAGACGAGTTTTGCTAAGTTGCTGAGGCTGGCTTTGAACCTTCAGCAGTCCTCTGCCTCAGCCTCCCTAGTTGCTGGGATAGCAGTGGTGCGCCACCACACCTGGCACCATTACTTTTAAAGGAATTAGTAAGTGCCGTGGTACAGGAGGTCTGTTTTTGAACAAAGCTGACATCCAGAACACTGCAGAAGGGAACAAGAAACCTGATGTGGGCCTCAA